TCCTCCTCCTCCTCCTCCTCCTCCTCTTCCTCCTCCTCCTTCTCCTCCGCTTCTTCCTCTTCCTCCTCCTCTTCCCGGCGTTTCAGGTTTCAATCGGCAGCAACTACGGACCAGGAAAGTCACAAGAGAAACTCCAAACTCATTTTTTTCCTCCTCCTCCTCCTCTTCCTCTGTCTCTTATACACATCTAGATGTGTATAAGAGACAGCCTCCTCCTCCTCCTCCTCCTCTTCCTCCTCCTCCTCCTCGTCTTCCTCACCGGCTTCGCCCTTTTCCTCCTCCTCCTCTTCCTCCTCCTCCTCCTCCTCCTTCTCTGTCCGGCCAATCTTCCTGCGTTTCAGGTTTGAATCGACAGCAACTACGAACCACGAAAGCCACAAGAGAAACTCTAAACGCACTTTCTTCCTTTTTTTTTCAACAGGCCGAATCAATCCATCAATAGCAAAAAAAAACAATTCAATTATGGACGATCGAATCGATTGTTCCGATTGGATCTTTAATTCAAGATCCGATCGAATCGATCGATTCGAATGGATTGCCCGAGCCAATCAATCAAACAATCAATCAATCAATCAATCAATCAATCAATCAATCAATCAGTAAAAAAAAACTAAAAAAAAAGTGACTAACCGTTTTCGATATTGGCTATGAATCGATATTCGATCTTTTTTTTTCAACAGGGCCAATCAATCCATCAAAAAAAAAAAAAAAAAAAAAAAAAAATCGTTTATGGACTATCGAATCGAGTGTTTTGATTGGATATTTATTTCAAGATCCGATCGAATCGATCGATTCGATTGGATTGTCCGAGCCAATCAATCAATCAATCAATCAATCAATCAATCAAAAAACAAACCAACAAAAACGTGACTAATCAATATTGAGTTCGGAAAGACAAAAAAAAAAAAAAAAAAAAAGTGCATGACACGTTGGTCATGGCGCAAGTTAAATATGCGCATTTCAGTAAAAAAACAGCAATAATGACTTTTTAAGTTTTACACATTTTTTGACATTTTTTTTGAATCGTGTGGCTCCGGCGTTTTAGGTTTGAATCAGCAGCAACTCCTTTTCCTCCTCCTCCTCCTCCTCCTCCTCCTCCTCCTCCTCCTGCTCCTCCTCCTCCTCCTTCTCCTCCTCCTCCGCTGCCGCCGCTTCTTCGCCCTCCTCCCCCTCGGCTCCATCTATTGGTGGGGAGCATCACCTGCTGGAAAACGGGTCCAGCGTCCCGCATATAGAAAATGAGAATGTCTGTGAAAAGTGGGAATAGTGACCGTGAGGTCTGCCAGCATTGATCGCCCTGCAACCCCGGGGATTGACTAAGCAGGCCTAAATAGTGTCCTCTCCACCTTCAAACGGAAGGCGTCAGAAAAAAACAGTCAAGGGCTGGTACTGTTTAGCCTTGAGTCTACTTACTCCGAATCCTGCCAAGTGGCAAAGATTGCTCAGGATACTCAGACTGCCAACATTATTTACTCAGAATACTCAGACTGCCATCTGGCGCTATTAAGCCTTGATTTAAATCCTTCCTAATCATGCTAAGTGGCCCAGATTGGCACAGATTGCTCAGGATACTCAGGATGCCAGCATTTTTTACTCAGAATACTCAAGACTGCCATCTATGACTATCCCAACAGATCATGCTGAAAAAAAGAACATTGACGGAGGGAAGACTCCCCGGGGCGCTCCAGGGAGGAGTTCCGTGTGTAGAATTTTTACGTTCAGGACAGGATCTCTGCCAGGGAAAGGGCATGGGGTGGGAAAGGGTGAGGAAAATCCGAGGGAGAGCGAAGTGGGAACGAGGGTTCTACGTTTGTCCAGTCCTTGAAAGTTGAACGGTAGTCTCTTATCTCGTCCAAATCCTGTTGTCCCTCTCCCCTGTCCCCACTCCATTCTACTTTTGCAATCCATCCTTCTCTCTCCCCTCCTACCCAGTCTGTGCAAAATGCTGTAATCCGTCTCCTGACATCTCTTCTTTGTTTAAAAAGGTCTAACTGTGCTTCTGTGTCTAGCCACCTTTGTGTGAGTTCAAAGTGCACCTGCTGCTGTATCTGTTCGGTGATCTCTGGCCCTTCTACTCTCACCTTCTCCATGGCGAGAGTGCATCTCTGCCACCAAAGTGCCCATATCAGTGCACTGCCCTCCCAATTCTGAGCATATTCTCTACAAAAGTCGTGGCTATCCCTGCCAGTGGCAAATGGCCGGCCAATATGGCTTGCCAAGACCAGGACCAGGGGATTGGTGATTCCATTTTTCTCCATATGCGGTCCCATCATCTCCATATAAATTGGGCAATCGGACATTGCATGAAGATGTGTTCAATGGTTTCCGCCTTCTTAGAGAATGGGAAAAGACTGTGACACCACTGACACCACGGAAGTAACAACCCTTTTTGTTCTAAGTATAGTCGGTCAACGAATCATTGGTTGGCAGACAGTGATGGACAATCTGCCACTGCAGAGAGGTGATTTTCATGGGTCTAGATTTTTGTTCTTTGAACCATTTAGTCGATGACAGAAGGGGGCGCTCCACATTTAGGTGTCCTGCCCACCGGTCATTGACTATGTCTCTCAACCGCCTTTTAGGTTTGAGCATTTTGTAGGCCGATTTGATCGACAGGTTCGCAAATGGTTCACAAAGGTTGCGCTTAGCGACATAGATTTTATTATTGCACCTTTCCATATCTCGCACAACCAACATTGGATACTCCGTCACACTCGTAGTGGCCGACTCGAGACATATGAAATTTGAGTACTATGACTCGCTGACATCGGATGTTGAACTCGCGAAAAAGGTGACAGGGGGGTTCACAATTTTTTTTTACATGATTGCAATCGAACAAGGTCAAAAGATTGACACCAAATTGTTCAACCATATATGGGTAGTGGGAGGCATTACAAAGTAGCATGACTTCAACGAGTGTGGTGTGTTTATGTTCACATATGCATCGTTGCTGGCGAGTGGGTTTCT